AACTCTTGCTAAACTGCAACATTTGCAAACACAAACGTAAACCTCAAGTCAGTTCTCCCACCGTATCACAATGTTGTTAAGGGTTTATGCTTGCAATGATATGCTTTATTAGGGAAAAAGGTTTTAAATTAGAGTGAAAAATGTATTTTAATTAGTGTGCTCGCCTCGGCTTCGAAACCTCGTGCCTATGTATCCTCTTAGTGCAATAAGGAAATCAGAGCTTCGTAGTTCGACTAGAAAATGAGTATATGTTTGTTGTTTTTAGTGGATAATGTTGTGTTCACATTCCAACAATTAGGTGTTGTCGCTCGTCGGGTGGAGACCTATGCGCTACCTGTTTGCGGTAGAATGAAAATAACATGCCCTTTCTGAAAAGGTTTTGCATGCCATAATGCGAAAAAGAAGTTTGATTGGTTGAGTTGATTTTAAGGTGGATATAAGTCCTTGGATAGGAAACTCTAAAGGTAGTACCCAATTCCTTGTTACTCTAAAATATTTTCTATGAAAGACGTGTGGTGAGTATAGTCGTGTCTCCTTATTGAAAGACAAGTAGTCGGACCATGTAACGCCCGGAAATTCATTAAATTATTTAAATGAATTATTGAGGATTTAAATTGTTGGAATTTAGTCGAAGAAGGAATTATCGAAATAATTATTAGGAGCATTATTGGATTTTTAGAATTGATAATCGAATAATTAGTCAATTTAGTCAAGAGAAATTAATATTAGATTTAATGTTGATTTTAGTAGAATGTTATTTTATTAGTTGGGTCAAGTGGGGTGTGTGAAATAGCAAGATTAGGAATAGAATTAATAGGCCCATTATTATATTAGGTTATAATATATAGAGGTTAGCAACCAAAAGCAGAACAATTATCACGTAGCAGTAGAAGAAACAAGGGTTTGGAGCACCAAGTGGGAGGCAAGCAAATTTAGAGAACTGCCGTCAAACTAGTTGCAGTTTCAACCGGAGAATTTGACCGACCGAAAAACCAAAAGTTAAGGGTGGGGTTCGGATTTTATAACCGGGAATATGATGGTTAGTATGTAAGGGTGGGGTTCTGGCTTTATAATTGGGTTAATGATATTTGATATGTGAGGTTAGATGAAATTGTTGTTTGTTCTTGAATTAGATGTGTTATGAATGATGTATGATAAATATTGATGAATTTTGGATGAATAAGAATGTTATTATGTTGTTTGATCAATGGAGTAATAGAGGGTAATATTAGGTGATGAATTATCATGATCATAATAAGGTTTTTAGGGCTGTAGTATGATTCCCGTAGCAAAATACAGTAGAAAATGCAAAAAATTATGCAGAAAATCGCAGGATGCGTCGACCTCAAACTGGATGAGTCGATGCAAGGAGGTTGTTAGACTCAAGATGAGTCGATGCATGCAGGGCTTGCATCGATGCATGTCAGTTGCAAGACTCAGGATGAGTCGATGCATGGAGGGTTGCGTCGATACATGATGAGTACAATACTCAGGATGAGTCGACACGAATAGTGCATGTGTCGATACATGCTGTATTGAAAACTAGAATGAGTCGATCCATAAGGAGGATGTGTCGACTCATAGTATGCAGGAGAAGCAGGATGTGTCGATTCAAGGAGTTTTGTGTCGATACATAATGCTGGATTTTTGACAGAATTGACTTGTAATTGCTGTAACTTAGAGTTGTAGGATGCTGTTTGAGATGCCATTCGAAGCGTTGATTAGCTAACGCGATGAATATTATTCTAGATGATTTAAATGATGGATAAGAAGTTTAATTCCAGTAACCAATTTAGGATTTATAATTAATTCCCGTAGATGACCGTTGTGCTATTTTTGGGACAAATTGACGAATATGAGATGTTAGAGACTGTTGTTAGAAATATGACAGTAGGATTAATGACAGTAACGATATAAATTAGCAGAATAATAGGATGGCTTACTGTACTATTATTATACAGTTGAGTATTTGTGAGATTTTATTGATGAAGTTATGTTCGATGATTTTTGTGATAATAAACGATGTTTAATAAATTATTTTGATGTTATGAGATGTTGTTAATTGAGATGTTTGAGATGATTGAGATGTTGTTATTTTGAGATGTTTATGAGATGTTGTTGTTTTGAGATGTTGTTGTTTTGAGATAATTGAGATTTGATTGAATATGTGAAGTGTTAGGCTTATTGCCAGTGATGCAGGGATGTAGGCGAATGCCTCATAATGAAGTTTGTGGTGAATGATATATTTGTGATGTTGTATGTTACATGAGTCTCATACATTTGCATTTTGTGAAGGCCTGTATTGGCGGATTTGTGAAGTAGGCTTATGCCTTGTGCCTCTATTAATTGGCAATTAGTGAAGAGGGTTGAAGCCCTGCTGGTACCACATGCATATGCACAGTTGTGTCACATTCGAATTGCATTTTGAATCACTAATGATAATTGTGAATGTTTATTGATTGTTATGTGTTGTTAAGAAGCGATTAAGTTTATAATGCTCTTGTCTAATATATTAATTATCATAATCTTATTTATATTATTTGGTGTCTCACCCCTTTATTTATTTCGTTGTTGCCTTTATACTGGTAACGTCCAGGTAATGAGGAGTAGAGACTTAGTAGCTTGTTGGTGTCGTTGCTCTGATACGTAGCACTCGGGGGGGGGGGGGGGGATGAACGCTTATTTGATTTTATGATGTTTTAAGTTTAATCCAAGTTGTTGTTTTAAGAAGTTGTTTTCTTTGAATTAAGTTGTTTAAAAGATGCTATGTTTCCTTTGAAGTTTTAAAGTTATGAATCCGCTGCATATTTATGGAATCAAGTTGAAATACTTTTGAAAACCAATAAATTGTTATAAGTTCTTTGGATCAATATGTGCTATGTATCTGTTATGATAGGTTTTTATGTTGTTGGTTTTTGGAATGAGAATGTAATGCCCCATATTTGTGGAAATTTTGGCACTCTGATTTTAATATAACTGTGATGTAGATTTGGGGTGTTACAGACCACACTCTAAAGTGAGCATCCTAGTACTTATAAAAGAAGAAGTATGCACTTAATCTTTCCTTTTAGTCTAATACGGGGATGACATTACTCGTTTTATTTTAGAGTGTTTTATTTGGAAAGCAAGAGTTTAGACAGTGAACCCTAAAGGTAATGTCAAACACTTAGGATAGGATAAGGCCTTCGCCTAACCACTCCATAAACATTCCGAGTTTATTAAGAAAAGGATTTTGAAAAAGATCAGTTGGTACAAGGATCAAGGTTTTAGTTTTAAGATGTGAAGTGAAATGAATAAGGTGGATGAAGTGAAGTGAAAGGGTGATGAATGGTGAAAAGGCAGGTTGATGGTGATGCCTAAACAATCGACTTACGGGTGTAAAGATATACAAGGCTTGCTTTTGGTTAAGTGGTGAATGGAATGAATTGGATGAAGGTTAATTGTGATGCCTAAGCAATCGACTTACGAGTGATGAAAGGTGGTGGGACCCTAAGATGTGGTGAAAGATGGAATTTAATTAATTGTTTTTGAAAATGGCTTGACGTTGGATCAAGCTTTAGTTTTTATCTTATTTTTTGAAATCATTTTCGATTGTTTTTATTACGTTATTACATGTCCACGAGGAGGGGGTTCATTTTACCCACTATGGGGGAACGAAGCACGTCTAAGCTAATACAATATTCAAGGGATTGACTTTAATGCGAAAATAAAGCGATAAACTATGATTATTTACCAATTGGTCATAATCCAAAAGTATACCAAAGTGCTTCAATCAATACCTCAAAATAAAGCACATAATGTTAGTGAAATTACACAAAATGATGAATGAGATGGCACAAAAAAATCAACAAGAATTAATCAAGAAACCAATTCTAAAACCCTAAAAATTTCACATAAAATCTAAAGAGAATTAAAGGCATTTTTATGAACATTTTTGTGAACAAGAAATAACAAGTTAAAATCAAGATTATAACATCACATATATTTTTGTGTCAAAATTTCATTGGCAAGAAAATAAAGGCATGCAAAAATATTGAGAAAATTACATGAAGAAAACAAAATAAAAATAAATATTAAAAAACCACACAGAGGAGGTGGTGTAAAGCATACAGGATACGATAGGCCTTGGTTCAGAGCCCAATCATCAATTCAGGGAACAAGAAGTGACCAAAAAACTATGCTATCCTAGAAATTGCATTGGACTAGCACATGTTTTGGCCCAAACGTTAAGCATGTATCAGATTAACAAAAATAAGAATGAAAAATTAAAGAAAAATAGAGCAAGGGGCCAAAATGGTGCCATTTGGATGGGAACAATGACTATTCAACTTGGTTAAAACCTAATCTCTTCCCTCCAAGTCCATCTATGTTTCAAACTTTCAAACCCATAAATGCCAAGAATCTATACTATTCACTTCGCCTCCACATCCTGGTTCTGAATGCTCGACTCTTTTCTCTCAATTTCCACTGAATCCTTCTACATCTATAAAAGGCTTAAAAACCCTAGGTCTGAAAACTTAAATTAGGCTACAGTGTGAGCGAGAGAGGATGAAGGTGATGTTTGTGAGAGAATGGATGCAAGTGTCTCTGAGAGTGGTGTGCGGAAGAAGATGAAGTTGATTTGTGAGAAAATGGTGGGGTGGTCGAGGAGCTTCTGAATGAAGGTGAAGGTTGGTTTATATATACAGTTGGAGGTTGAAGGGAGTTAGAGATGAGAAGATCTGAGCCATTGAATCTGAAGTTTCTGTTATGGATCAAAGGGTTAAGATTTAGCAGTTAGTTATGGAGGTTTTGATTCAGTTAAAACTGTTAGGATGAGCTGGAGGCAGTTCTGTTATTTAGATTCAGTTTGTTAGGTATTTGCTGTTTTTCTGGTAGTGTGTCTGATCAGCTAATCGAATAGCTTTTCTGAACTGAATTCATGATGCTAGTCATGGAAGTGCAGGGTTGCTTGTGTTCATGTAATGTTCACTTGGATCTGAATTGGTTTTGTGTTTTGCAGGTCATGGTAATGAGGTTAATTATTGATTGTTTTGTGATGTTAAGGACGTTTTGGTTGCAAGCTTGGCATGAAGATTGGTGAAAGATTTGGTCATGGAATGAAGAAATATTGAAGATTAGGCTTAGGTTTTGATGTAAATCCATGTGAATTTCCTTGTGACGATTTGAATTGTAGTGACTTGAAATTAAACGATGTATCATGATCTTGTAATGTAACCTCTTGAACGTAATAACTTTGGCAATGTTCAAAGACAATTTCTTTAAATATTCCAAAGCCCTTTCTTTTGATTTTGTGTTTTGAAGTCCCTTGGCCATGTTGTGATTTATTTCCTTGTAATTTGATTGATGTATGGAATGTAATTGGAATGATGTACTTGAAATGGGTTGTAATGTAAGCTTCTTGTAATGATATTGATAATGTAAGCTTTTTGCAAACCCTTGAATTCCAATGGTAAATTCAAAATACTCAAAGTAACCATCTCTTCTAATCTGTGAAATTCCAAACTCCTTTGATTTTGTATTCATGTCATTCATGGTATTCCAAGTTTACTTCATATTGCCCTTTTGAGTGGACCTTGTATCATCTTGACTTTTGACAAATGGAATGAATTATTATTTCTACACGTCTTCAAGTAATTGAACTTGCATCACATAAATAGCATTGGACTTGACTTCTTCTTGTTATTTGATTCAAAAACCTAATGTGTGATAACACGGAATTATATAGAATATTTGATTTGACTCGCATGAATTTTAGTTTAGTTTTCGTTTATTTATGTCATGTTATACTGGTATTACTGTCCTATTTCAAATACCTCAAGCAAAAATTTGTCACGGAAGAGATTTGAGTAAAAAAGAAAAAGATATAAAGTAAAAATAAAGAAAATACAAAGAAAGACCTATTTACAAGAACAAGGCCCATGAGTGTTTTCACGAACGTGACGCCTGCCACGTCCTTCATGGCGCCTGCCACTACAAAGGGAGTGGCGCCCACCACCACAACATGTGGCACCTGCCACTATAAAGGGAGTGGTGCCTACCACTCCATACATGGTGTCTGCCACGAAGCCATGCTCTCCTATATTCTCTCCTTCCACTCAGTCTGAGTCACTTCCCTATATTTTCTCATGCATTTATTTTTACACGATCAAATACAGTTGCTCAACTTGTAACTCTATAAATAGGGCTAGTTTACTTGTTTTTGGCATCCAAGTTTGTGCGCGAAAACGTTGTTCATAGTTTTTTGCAGAAATTACATTGTAAAAGTGGTAGTTTCTCACATCGAGGAACTACCATACTGTTAATACTAGAAATTTTGTGTACGCTTGGATCAACAATTCTGCCGCCTTTAATAGAAGTTAATTACAGTTTCATTTCAATTCAAGTTTCTTTATTTCTCGCATTTACAGGTTCTTATTTATCGTTTTATTATTATTGTTGTTCCGTTTTATAATTGTCAAGCATGTTATTCTTAATTATGTTTAGCATGTTTATGTTCAAAACTATGTCCGACTAAATCGTTTGATACCGATATGTTAGAATCGTCGTCCCGACGGGATTCAGTAAGAATTGGCGTTAATTTTTATAATCTATTTTTCTGGTTGCAGTTTCTAATTCTAAAATTAAAACAATTTTTGTATAAGAGTAAAAAGCAAATAAAGTTTACGGTCAATAGAGCGACAATTTAAGACTTTAACTGGATAGTAGAAACTAGGCATTAATCTTAAACACAACGAGAGCGCTTTAGGATTAATTAGAACTTATTGATTTCCAAAAACTACTTTTAATTCAAATGAGTGAGCGATAGCAAAGTATCCTGGATTAAGAGTACAGTCAGAGTCAATAGTGCAACAATTTGAGATAAAGTCTTTTAAATCAATATTTTCTATTGAAAAGTATTTTACCATCATTACAAGTCAACGAGTTACACAGTCCCTGAGGTACGTGGAATACATTCTGGTATCTCTTTTCTTATATTATTCTTAATCTTTATTTTGTTTCAGTTTTAGTTCTTAGTTTCCCCTAAATCAATTATTCATTAGCATTAGTTTTACAAAGCGGCGATAAATTACAGTAGATTGACATTGGTCTTTGTGGATTCGACAATCTTTTATATTACTTCGATATTTATATGAACTTGTGGATGCATCAAGTTTTTGGCGCCGTTGCCGGGGATCAACAGTCAATATTGTTATTTTCGTTGTTGCATCATATAGACTAAGGCACTCTTACCTTAATTACTATGTATCACCCAAAATTTTCTACAACTCCCACTCTCAGTATTTCGAGGAATCACAAGAATCCCATAAATCCAACCTCAAAATACTAATGGAGGATTTCAACGCGTCACTAACTCATTCTCACCCAAATTACCTCTACAACTACCAATTCCAACATTTTGAGGAGTCGCAAGAATCACATAAATCCGATCTTGAAAAATTACTGGAGGATTACAATGTGACGCTAACTTATCCTCAACCAAATTTCCTCTACAATCACCATGCTCAATATTTTGAGGAGACGCAAAAATCCCAAAATTTCACTCTCGACACATTAATGGAGGATCTCAATGCAACACTAACTCGCTCTAGGATATAATCTATGATGACATAGCGTTTTGTGGAGACACAAAATGCGACGCTAACTCACTTTCAGGAACCGCAAGAATCTCATAATTTCAATCTTGAAACATCAATGTCCCCATAATTTCAACCTTGAGGATTTCGATGCGACGCTAACTCACTCTAGGCTAGACTCTATGATAGAGCACTTTGTAGAGATACAAACTGTCTAAAATAAAGAGTTAAGAAACCAAAGTCTCCATAATAATGAAAATCTTAGGCAGCTGTACAATGCGGTTGAGCCCCTCGTAACTCACAATATGGCTTTAGAGACTCGAATCTCCCTGCTTGCACAAAATCCTCTAGGACCCTTCCCTGAGGAGTATGTGGATGTTGTAACAACCTATAGTAAAAAACAAATTAAACATCCTAAAGAGAGTGATAATAAGGTTGAAGAGAGTAATAATGAGGTTGAGAAGAGTTATAGTGAGAAAAGAGTAGAGTTTGAGAAAAATACACCAACGTCATCCGAAAGGAAGGTTGTCAAGGAGGTAAAGAAGGAAACACCCATTGTTGTTCCTCCTCCCTATAACTCACAAATTAATTTCCCGCAAAGGTTTGTGGACACTAAGGTAGACTCCAAATTCAAAATGTATATAAAGATGTTGGAAAATATCCATACCAATATGCCCTTGTTTGAAGTCTTGCATAAAAAGAAAAAGTTAGAGAACCATGCAACTAGGGAAATCAACAATTTTAAGAGGGGAAGGTTAACCTTTAAGTTGGTGGATGAAATAACTAAGCCCAAACTTGAAAAGCCAATACTCAAGATAGATCAAGAACCACCATCACAAGTTCAAAAGAATGAACCACCCTACAGAAGAAAGAAAAGAAAAGATGAGGGATATGTGAAATGGATTGATAAGTGGCCATGGATATCGAATTTTATTATAAGTTCAATTGAGGATTCATTCTCGAGAGAACTACCATGAGTGTTGCACTCCTGAGCCGTTGAGCTATCGACATTAAACAAAGCACTGCGTGGGAGACAACCCACGAGTTTTTAATTTAATGTTTTCGTTTTACTGTGTGAATTTGCATATAATAAAGAGATAGATCGTTTGTCACGTCTCAGGTACTTCTAGGCAAAAAATATTTAGATGATAATCTTGAAAATAAGCCAGGTGCCCACGGGCATTCCTGCGAATATCGCTGCTGCTGGTGACACCGACGATGAGTATGATATGAGAGATCATGTCTTTCTCGTTTGTAACTTACCTCCTCCTCGTTCTTCGCATGGTCAGGTTCCACATGCCTGCTTTCAATTGCTATTGAATTTCCCTGCCAAATTTTAAAAATTTTAACCTCCAACAAAAGTTTTCTTTTCGATGCATGGCACGCACTCTGAAAGTATATAAGTTGTCGCACCTTAGGCTGTGTTAGAGAGACTTGGGAAAGATTCAATAAAATCAGTACCGTTTTGACACCTTAAACCCCCTAAGTATGCAAGATCAATTTGAATACCTATTATGCAGAAACCTTAAGTTTGAGTTTTAAAGTAGCTCAGAGTAGTTTATATTAGCAGTTAGCACCATCCTAAGCACACTCTACATAGGAATATCGATGAATGTAAGTGAATGATCCTAATTTTTTAATGAATATATATTTTAATTGAAAATGGGAATGCACCTTTTAAGTCTGGTGACCTTCACCCGGTCACTTAGCCTAACACATGTTGAACCTACAAAAAGATAATAATAATTACCCGTTGTTAGTTGGTTCAGAGGTCATTGGTGCTGAATTTGATAGGGCGGATCACGGTCCAATCCCCTGCAATTGCAGTTGTAAAAGATGGGGTTAGCACTATTTAATTGCCAATACCCCAAGCGAAAAGGATCATAGTCTCTAACCAGTGTTTTTACTATGAGTGTGTACATATAAAGGGCTTAATGTGATTCTTCCCGAATGAAAATGGGTAAAATGAAACAAAAGAAATAGGTCGAGTTATAATAGAATGATTCAGATTGGTTTGCATAAGATGGGAATTTTTGATTGAATATTATGATTTCGTGTCATTACGGTACCCTTGGTGTTGACATTTAGTACCTATCTATCTAACAAAGGCCTCGCAACCACGTATAATTTGAGTTTTGTCGTGTTTTTGTTTCAAGCATGTGCTTAGTGTGATTACCATATTGGTTATTTGCTTGAGGACAAGCAAATGTTCAAGTATGGGGAAATTTGATAATGCAAAATTATATTGTATATTTGACTTTACTCACATAGATTTTAGTTTAGTTTTCGTTTATTTATGTCATGTTATGTCGGTATTATTGTCCTATTTCAGGTACCTCAGGAAAAAATTGGTCACGGAAGAGACTTGAGTAAAAAAGGAAAAGAAATAAAGTAAAAATAAAGAAAATCCAAGGAAAGGCTCATTTACAAGAACAAGGCTCGGAAGTGTTTTCACCAACGTGGTGTCTGCCACGTCCTTCGTGGCGCCTGCCACTATAAAGGGAGTGGCACGCACCACCACAACATGTGGCGCCTACCACTATAAAGGGAGTGGAGCCCACCACTCCATACGTGGCGCCTACCACGAAGCCATGCTCTCCTATATTCTTTCCTAGATTTTCCCAGGCATTTATTTTTACACGATCAAATACAGTTGCTCAGCCTGTTACTCTATAAATAGGGCAACCGTAGGATCATCGAGAGACTATGATCTTTTTTAATTTACGGGTCTTTGCTAAAGTGTCCCCGTTTCGAGGGACATGACTGCTTTATTTCTGAAGGCAACCAAAGTGGGATACCCTAGAGGTGTATATGTGTAAT